CCGGGGCTCACCGCCCTCCTCCCGGGGCTCCAGCCGCCCTCCCCTCCGGCGCCCTCCCCCCGGCCGCTGGGGGGGCGGCCGGAGGCTTTTTTGCCTGGGGCGGCAAAGCCAGAGCCGGCCCTGACAGTCAGCACGTTGCTTTCTTGTTGTTACTTGCATATGAGTTTGACAGTTGGGTATTGGGTGAAGGGGTAAAGGGTTGAGATAGAGATTGGAAGAAGTGTGTAGTCTAGTGGTTGGAACAAGAACTAGGAATCATGCACCCCTGAGCTCTGACCACGATTCTCAATTATAATCCAGATCCTGATACTTGTATCCTCTGGGCTAAATTATGTCCAGCTGTAGGGGTCTGAGCAGAGGACTACTGGGCATAAGAGGTTAGGTCACAGTGTAGCAGGGAAATCAGCCACTGTGGGGTTGTTACTCCCCACTGCTTTGCAAGTGGATGTATAGGGGTGGGAAGTCAGTGGAGCCTTGACTGCTTCCCAACATGTTGGCCAGCACAGCTGAGTTGGTATGGAGGGGGTAGTAAGCTGTGCCAGGTAAAGGGCTGGCAGAATTTATTTCTCCCCAGGAGGCTGAATTGTGGGACTTAACTGTGATTCTTTGAATCACAGTTCAGTCCCATATCCTCTCTTGAGGCAGTGCAAATACACAATTTTCCTGACCGTGAGTCCTAAGCAACTCCACAATGTAGCCCTCAGGGATTTAGAGCAAGACATGTACCCCTCTTTGGTTCAGGTTTCCCATTTATAAAAGGAGATTAATAACCACCTGCCTCTTGGAGGCCTTGTCAGGATTCATTCAATGTGTGTAAAGTGTGTTTGGGATGAAAAGGGTTATATAAGTGGAAAGTAGTATTCTTTATAGATAACGTTTTAATTAACACCAATATAACCTAAGCCAAGCAAACACTCTTTTGAAATTAGTTAACAAGCGAAAAGACAGTCAACTGAATTTGTCAGTAATCTCTGTGTTTTAATTTCCCTTTGTATGCTCGCACTGAGAAGAAACCGGCATGGTGTTCCAATGGGGAACAGGCATGGCTTCTCGGGCAAACCGGGCAAGCCAAGGGAAAATGATCCCTTCCTTCTTGACAGCAAAAGAACCTTGTAAAGTAACAGGTAACTAAAGAATCACACTTTTTCTTTGTAAAGACAGTAGCACTGGGAACAGTAATATATAGACCATGTACATACATACAAACAATGCACCTTTTCTATAAGCCCTCCTGGTGTGTTCTCTACGCGTCCCATAATTTTGCAGTGATTCAGATTCATTACAGAAGGTCATTACAGAAGTAATGAATTCATTGATGCTGGGTAAGGGGCAAATCCAGACCCCATCCTGCTTGGACACGGTGGGAACTAGGGCAGCTGTTGTGTGCAAGGAGGGGATGTGGATGTAAGGGAGCTGTGTTCTGTGGCAGCATGGCGGGGTTGGAACATGAGTGGGCTGATGTGCTGGGAGTGGGACTTTGACACTCCATGGACCCTCCTGTCTGTCTCACATTACAGGGGTGTGAGTGGCCATGGTAACCTCCCTGGAGTGGCTCTGCAGATGTGCTGTGGCTTGCAGACAGGTTTCCCTTCTATGTTCCCCGGCGTATCTCTGTAACACTGGTGTTGGTGTTCCAGTGTGAACTGGCATGGCCTGGGCTCAGGGTCTGGATTTCCCCTTCCTCACAGAAACACATCATCAGCACCACATTTTAAATATGTCCTCAGGAACTGGCACAGTCATTTGCAGTGTATCTGTGGTGTGGTATGGAATGGGAACACAGATTCAGAATCCCCTGGACAAATAATGCTGACTTCCTTGGGATTTGTGTTCCATAAGCTGAGACCTTCTGATGTAAAATACATAATACACAGCACTCATGGTGCAATTTCTGAAGTAATATAGTTCTATTCTGTACTACAACGGATCTGGGCATAGAGATGTGTCTTGCCTGTACTTATTCCATGGAACTGATGTTTCCTAGGTCTGGAAGATGTAAAGGTGAAAAAAGTCACTGCCAGCTCCTACCATTCAGTGTCACTTACAGGTAGGCCCCAGCAATATATGTATGTATTAATAAGCTTGGGCAATGTATTTAGAAGCTAGATATTTATGACTTTGTGAATTTTAATTTTTGTTCTAGCTGGGCTCTGCTTAGTTTGTAAAATCTGATGGGATCACAGCACAGCATGCTATAACTTCAGTGGTATTCACTGGTTTGAAAGAGTAAATTATCTAAAAATGGAGTTAAGTGGATTTATTTGCTTTGGACACCAGAGATCCTAGCCAGCACCCTTCATTCATTTGGGGGCAGGTTCTGATACACTTACTCCACGAATAGTTTCATTGATTTCAACAAGGCTATTCTGTGAAGCATGGCGTTACCTGTTGTGAGTAAGAGTTGCAGAATCCGGGATTTATTAATGGATCTTGGTGGGACGTGTTCTCCTAAATCATACAGGCGCTTTTGTAAACACCACCTTTTGCACTCTGCAGTCAGTTCTTCTGTGCTGGCTAAACAGGAACCAACATGTCACATGGAAAGGCAGCTAGAGTATTGCTCTGCATGAAGGGAAACAGGATTCATAGTACCATCAGTTTTAAGGGTGGAACCGATCATCAGATCATCTTGTCTGACCTCCTGTATATCACAGGCCAACAACTGAAATTAGGCCAAAGTATTTACAACCGACAGGAGACTAACTGTTGTGTGCCACAGACAGAGAACAGCAGGGACTGAGGTGCACCAATGACTGAGGCCCCCACAATGGCAAGGAATTCATTGAGTGAGATATATCCAGATGATCCTAGCATGCAACCCACACCTTGCACTGCACAGGAAGGTCAAAAAAACAAACAAACCCCAAGGTCACTGCAAATCTGACTAGGGGAAAATTCCTTCCTGACCTCATGTATGGTGGTTGCTTCTTATGCTATAGATTTATAATCTTGAGGCATGGAAAATGTATTAATCTTTCTGAAGACATGAAATCTTGAGTAAAACTACACGTTTGGGATCTCTAACATGCTCTAAACTATGCATCAGTGTATTCACTTGGGCCAATTTACAGAGAGCAATAATTTTGTATGGAAACATTGCAAAATGTGAGTTTTATTGAATTCTAAGACATGCAGACTGAGGTATCCTTGATCTGGGAAAAATCAATATATACTGGACTAGTCTGTAACTGACATGAATTTATTTAAGTAGAAAATGGATTATTCTTTCATGTTTTTACTTTCTTGATTTTGATTAAGCAAGCAATCCTTTTTGTCTACAAAAAGACCAAAGCTCCTGATGCTAAGGATCCAAAGCTATTTAATAATAGAACACCTCTGTCTCTCTCCCTCCTGCATTAGCTTTTAAAGGTGTGTGTTTGACTCAAGGTACTACGGTACTTGTTTTTACATTATGAGTGAGCTACAATCTGGAGGGGTTTTTTACATGGATGTGAGGCACTGTTTAGTGTATATTTCATTTCTTCTTAGTCTCGCCTGCCACCTACTGGTGATACTTGGAACACCATTAATTTGAAAGTTTTACAGAACTGTAGAAAGGGTTGTTACAAAAACATATGGCACATTTTTAAAAAAGGACGATGAAACTGTTAATTCACTCCTTCAGTGCCCAGCTTACTACTTACATCCAACATAGTAGCAACTATATGGTCTATAGGCATATGCTGTACCGCCTTGGGTTGTGTGCAAATTACAGGGATCACATTAAAATGTACAAAAGGGGCTAACGGTAGGTAGATTGTTGTAGCATCCTTAGTAAATTGTAAGCCACACAAATGTTATGTTGGTTATGGCCTTAGAAAAACGTAACTGTTTTTCTTTGCTTGAAATTAGCTATTTCTGTCATCTTCTTTTCCCCTGAGAAAGTGTATTTCATTTTTTCTAGGGAAGAATTCCCGGCAAATAAAAGAGTCAATTACTTGATTTTCTCCCCTCTCCTGCCCCTTTTTTAATTGAAAAAATGACGGAGTCCTTAGGCTTTAGAAAACCTAAAAAAGTCTGTTTTGGCATTCATTGTTTCTCTTAACAGTTCGTTAATGTGCTTTGATTAGTCCCATTTCAAAGAAGACTAGCTCAAAGAACATTAATGAATTGTTAATGCGCGTCAGCAAGGTCCACGTGGACAGTTATTCAGTGGCAGGGTCATGTGGGTCAGATTCACACCCCAGCTTGCATTGTGATTTTGGGGTGTGTGTATATGCATTTTTTTAATTAAACAAATAGAGAAAAAATAGTAATTATCCATCAATCTATTTCAATGGTAGTCAGTGTCTTTGTAGTGGAGAGAGGCATCAGAGGAGTTATTAGTTCTGCCTTGGGAAAGGAAAATGTGTTGAGGGCCCTTATGGCTTCTTTTTTCTTTACATTCCAGGGTGTGTTTTTGTTTGTAGGGGAGTATAAATAGTGGGGAAAATATACAAGGAAGATTGAAACTGAATTAATGTATTACCCTCCCTTTGAATTTTTTTTGGTCTGTTGATATTTCACAGAAGTAGCTTCTCTCTAATTTCTTTACTTTTGTATTTATTTCAGATGAAGGAGAATTGTGTGTTTGGGGTAGCAACAAACATGGGCAGCTAGTGAGTAAAGAGACTTTTCTTGTTGAGCCCCAGAAAATAGATGCTCATTTTTTCTCGAGTGAAAAGATTGGAGCAGTCTGGAGTGGATGGACGCATGTAGTGGCACAAACAGGTAAGAGATCCAAAAAGCAGCCAGAAGATGCAAGCAAATACTTAAATATCCACTTTATTCTAGGCAAAACATGTTTTTAATTTGATCTTCCTCACTGTTAATAGTGATGCACAGAGATGTTTTCAGATCAAGCTGTACAGTGATAATCTTCAAAAAGTATGGGAATAGACTTCTTTCCATCAAGAGTACTCCTGCTTCTCTGAAAACTTAGTATACAATAAGAGCATCTGGCTTATTTTAGATGCTTGCTGCTGCAAAAGCACCGATATACATAAACAGCTCAGCTCATCAGATGATCGAAAGGGGGTAACTCTCCAGTAAGTGAGAAGTTCAAGGGACTAGCCATCTGGGCGAGGTGTAGCCTCGTCCTTGGAGAGAAGAGAGTCTGGTGGTGTTCCGTGCAGAGTGGTAGAAGATTTTGGTTGCAGTTTCCAGGTTGCAGGGTCATCTTTGGTGAGAGGCCTCTGGCAGTTTTCTATCAAGGCCATAGAAATTACACTTTGAGGAAAACCTACTGATGAGGCTCCTTGTGGTTCCCCCAGGCAAGGAGTTTTCCCAGGCAGTGGGATCTTCATTAGTTAGCGAGGAAGGATAATCTGGTGGTTAGGGAATTAGCCTGGGAATTGGGAGACCGTGCTTGGCCACATACTCAGGGCTGGCTCTAGACCAAATGGCACCCCAGGCAAGGAGTGTCTTTGGTGTCCCCCCTCCATTTGTTAAACTTTTGAGTATCTTATTTTTTATTGCATTTGTAGCCCATTTCACAACTTCGATGCGTGATTTGCATGCATGATTTATCCCTGTCATATAAGACAATAAATTTGCATGCTAGGATCTGTAAATCTGTACTTAATCATGCCATATGTAAGCAAATTACAAAAATTCATTTCCTCTAAGCTTATAGAAACTTTTTAATTTTAAGAATAACTGAAATGTACTAACATCAAGAAATTGAATTGTGCACCAACATTGGGTGGACCAGTGTTAAATAGTGTTACAGAAGGTGACAGCATTGGAATATTAACCCTAGTCCTGTTTTAGATATTTTCCCATCAAATTTACCCCTTTCTGCAAACTAGATTGCAACTGAGCTTTTTGCTTCCTATACTGAGCTCCTGAAGGCTTTTTTGGGGACATCTTTTATTTTCTATGGGGGGGAAACAGACAGTATTAGGGAGAGCAAAAGTCTATGTTCCACAGACTTAGAAAGTCATCAAACGTTACTTCTTTTACCACGCTTAAAACGTAACAGTAGTTCTTTAATATTGTTGCATAGATAGGGGTTCGATAGATATCTCTGGCATCGTATTAAATATGTCCTTTATTAGTTGCTACTTACAGCCTTCAAGTCTTAAAACACAAGTACACCTTCACAATTACACAGTAAAGCAAGGTTCATAATATTGTAGCTGGGCTGTCCACTTTGTTCTTATATCTCACTGACTGACTGGCGATGCCCTGCCCCTTATATACCTGTGAGGGCATGGCTAACAACTTTGTAGGAGATTTGAGGAAAATGTAGTTCTCAGAAAGTCTGGAACGTTCCATGAGATTCTGTAAAGGTCCAGAACATTCTAGGAGGTTAGTGAAAAATGAATCAACATATGAATACCTGAAACATTTTACTTCAAGCATTCTATTTTCCCTTTTGTTGCTAACAACAAAAACAGCACCTTGAATCCGGCATCCCAGGCGATCTCCTGGGTCGCCTGCCTGTAAATCTGGTCCTGCACATACTTCAGTGTGATCTTGGGCAAGACTCTGTGCCTTGGTTCCCCGTCTGTAAAATGTAGAAAATTATTATATCAAATATTAAATGTACTATAAAATTATAGTATTTATTTACCTCAGGAGGGCAATATGAGGAGAAATACATTAAAGACTGGGAAGGTGTTCAGATACTGTGATAATGAAGGCCATATAAGTACTTAAGACTGAACTCAATCTAGACAGAGATTCTGGATGAGTCATCTTTGCAGTTATACAAGTGCATGCTAGCAGGACCACACTGTCTATACTATTTTGTGCTCACATGTGGACTCCAAAATGATTTTCTTAGACTATTATAAAAAGGACAGTTAAAAATTATATTGCAGGCATCAGGAAAACCTGGTGGAATGGGATTTAGTTGTTTTTAAGGTTGGAAGCCTAAAAAGGTCAAATATTTCCTCTTTAATCTACTGCTAAATATTAATGGAGTTTGAATTCTATCCCTCCGTAAATCTAGGTATTTATGTGATCCCTCATTACTATAACTTCTGAGTCACTCTCAAGTTTATCCATTTGTTTTCACAACACTCCCGGAGGGGACGGGGGAATTATTATCCTCATTTTATGCTTTATGAAGACATCTATGCAATGAGATGTGGTAGATGAAATAACAAATAATATAGCTTTGTACTCATGTCTACAAATAGACTAATTTTTTTTGCATTTCCTCTTAATACTAGCTCTGCATGTGCTTGTTTTTTTCTTGATCTGCTTTATTACACCATATAAAAACTAATAAAAATTTGTATTAAAAAAAATCCCAGAAAATGAGATGGTAGGCTGTATTGTTTGGTTTTGGTGAGCCATCTCATAGACAGCAAAATTAGGGTTACCATATGTCTGTTTTTTCCCGGACATGTCCGGCTTTTTGGTAATCAAACCCCCGTCCGGGGGGAATTGCCAAAAAGCCGAACATGTCCGGGAAAATACCGTTCGGGCACTTCCCCTCCTG